GGGAAGGTGAGTCTGACTGGTTTATTCCTCATCTGCACCAGAGAACAGTATCAAAAGTAACCTGGTAGACATTTTCCAAAACATGGAAGCTCTTTGGAGTTTTCTTTTTTAAAGTCAAGATTTTCTTTATGTTCTGTGATCATGACTAGTTTATGATCTTACTCATCGAGTTGGCTCTGAAATAGGAAGTCAGTGAGTAAGTATTCTGACTCCAGCTTCTAAGGGAATAGATGAGTGATTAAAATAAAAACACTTCAGAGCTCTGGCCTCTGTTTTAGTTGGCACTGTAGATTTGGAGGATAGACTCTCTCATGCAGGAGACTCGAGTGGAATCTTTTGCCTTCTGTTACATGCTCTCCTCCACCACGCCAGCCCTTGCCCCATTCTCCCCTGCCCACTCCTCCATCTCCATCCCCTAGGAGCAGAATGTGGAGGTTGATCAGCTAAGTATGTATTAGGCACAGGCATGGGGAGTAGGCTCACACATAAGCATGAGGGGTGGGCCTGAGGGGAGCAGAAGTAGCATAACATTACTCTTCGAGAGCTTATGGTAACATACATGGAACAGGAAAGAAGATTCTGCTACTGCAACTTTCACCTTTTGTACCAACTTCAGTTTATTAGAGGTGACTGGCTGGAGTCCTATCTCAAGAAAAATTCTAAAATTACACCAAAAACCCATTGCCGTTGAGTTGATTCTGACTCATAGCGACACCAAAGATCATCATTGTTTAGTATTGCCTGCCGTGCAGGCTCAGAATGAGAGAATGTCGGCAGGTTTCTTGAATATTTGACGTTTACACTGCATAGGAAAGTGCAAAAGTATAAAGTGTCAGTGTGTTAGATGACCAGCATTCACAGTGAGAGAGAGGACTGGTGTAATAGGAGTTGTTCAGGTGAAACCTGAGCTGAGTTTGCAGATGAGCAGAGAGGTGGAGGGAGAACATCTTGGCGGGGGTGGGGGAGGGCACACAGACAGGGGACAGATGGAGTTGAGAGGTGAGCCTGGCTGGAGCCTGGGATCACTGTGGAGGAGAGGTGGGAGAGCAAAGGGAAAGATGAGGGAGATGAGGTGGTGAAGAGGGGGAGTGGTGGCTGGGAGCTTTCCGAGATCAGCTAATGAATTCCTTCCTGCTTCCTGTCTGTCACTGCAGACAAAGCACCTAGAGTAGGCCTGAAGTTCTTAGGGCAGAGTTGCCACATCTGGATATAATCAACCTTCAATAACAAAAGCTCTTGAGTAAAATGTCAATTTACTCCTCATCCTGCTAATTGATGCTGTGTGTGGTTCCTGTCTTTTTCTTCCTATTATATAAATACATTCTAAAAGCACAGCTGGATTTCTGTAGCCTTAGACAGCAACCTCAAAAGATGTAAAACGTCAAGAGTGGTGGAGACCCCTCCCATTTTTCATACAGCGTAACTGTTCAGACAACAGTTAATACAGCCCTGCTAGATTCCAATTAGCGATAACTCAATATGACTGAGGCAAATTTCATGGTGTTTGAATGGGAAATGGGAGGAAAATTATGGCCATCATCACCACTGTGAACTGGGGCAAGCTGGGAGCTGCTCATACCCTCTTTTCCCAAGATTTTTTACACCTTTGAAAACACTAAGAAGAAACTCCATTAAAGCAAAAGGGAAGTGTTAAGACTATTGTTTTACAGTTTTTCTTTATCTAGGCATCTGTCTGGTGAACAAATTTAGGTTCTTGATATCTGAGTATTTGCTGACATGATAAGCTTTTTGTGTTTTAGGAAGTAGTTTGGTAGAGTGGTGAAGAGCATGAGGTTTGGAGCTAGGCTGCTTGGTTTTGAATCCTGGCTCCCCCACTTTCTTGCTATATGACCTGGGGCAAGGTACTTAGCTTTTCTGGACCTTGCTTTTTGTAAATGAAGGTAGTAATAGAACTTACTTCATGAAGGTCAAATGAAGTTCAATGAGATCATGCTTACGAAGCATTGACACATTGCCTGGTACATTATAAATGTTCAGAAAATGATTACTGTCATTATTATTTAGGGTTTTCATTTGTGGCAAGGAAAAATGGTACTCATGTGGTGGGAGGACCAATGTACTTATACTTACTTAGATAGTAGATTCGAGGCTCAGCTCTGCCATTGAATTGTGTGACAGACTTTCTAGGCTTTAATTTTCTCATCTATTAAAAGGGCCAGTAATACCCTGTCTCCCTCCCTCACAGGGGCCTGGGATCAAATGTGGTTGTGTAATGCTTTGAAATGTATAAGGCAGCACACAAATGTCAAGTTTTATTGCTGCTGCTATCGTAGGAGGGGTAGTGGGGGGTAATAATGATAATATTGATAACAGTGGGTCCAGTTTTAAATTTAAAGAAGCATTAGGAATGATTACTCATGGCAGTAATTTGTGTACATTGCAAACAAGCACATTTGCTTTGTATTCCTTGAAGTAAAATAACGTTTTATGTTTTCTTCCTCCTAGAAACCTTGGTGAGCTGATAGATCGGTTTGTGGGTGATTTCAAAGTCCAGGGGCTCCCGAAGCCCAACACTGATGAAGGGGGTGCTGTGCTTCCCAGCTGTGCTGACCTCTTTGTCTACTACAAGAAGTGCATGGTGCAGTGCTCTCAGCTCAGCACTGGAGAGCCCATGATCGCGCTGACCACCATTTTCCAGAAGTACCTCCGGGAATATGCCTGGAAAATCCTCTCTGGCAACCTGCCCAAGTGAGTCCTGTGCTTCATGGTCTGAGTGGTGAAGTGAGATTCTAAATAGACCTAAATATGGGAATCTTTAAGGAAATCCGCCGTGAAGTGTTTACTGGACTGCTAAGAGTATCAAGGAGGAAAACACCCTGATTGAGTTCCCAAGAGTCTGAAGCTATTTCCTCTCTAATGGGATTCTACAGCTGATCAGGACCATTAGAGGAAATGCCCACGCTGGCTGCCAGTGTAGGCCAAATCTTAGGACAGGCGGCTCAAGAGAGTCAGTCTTATTATATATGTATTTAATTTATGTAGATTCAACTATAGGTACTTGGCAAAAAAACAGTAGGGGCTAATGGAAATAACTATTAAATAGCATGGACCATTTCATTCAAGCCCCATTCAATGAGAGTATGCCCTGGAGTGCTAGCTAGATGGGAGGTATGAAGATGCTTTTCCCTCAGTCTGCTTAGGTTCCAAAGTCTCTCTGATGGTGTATGTATCTTGCTATGCTGGGTAGGCTCTGTGTTGAAAGATGTGGTGGGATTTGGGGAGAGGGGGGTTGCACAGCACAGCTTCTGATTATAGTGACTACTGTATTATTCTGGGGCATTAGAGTATTGTTATATCAATTATTACTTGAAATAAGTGGATCATTTGACTAGTGTTTTATAGACATTTTGGTTATATAGCAATTTTGATTGTAATAGAATATGATCTGATACAATATTTCCTAATTTAGTATTTACAAATCATCCCTATGGCTCAATTCAACAATTCTGGAATTCGTTTCTTTCATTGTCACTAAAATGTGTCACATATTGGAGTTTTACATTATTTGGAAGGAAAGAAAATAAAATCCTTATGCTCTGCAAGAGATTTGAAGTGACAGATATGTTTTACTAATGAGAGCTTCTTTGAATTTGATAAAATTAATTAAAAAATTTTAGTAATCTTAATTCTGCTTATCAAAACAATACAAGTTCATTATAGCTTAGAAAACAGAGAGAAGCCCAAAGAAGAAAATAAAAATCACCTATAATCTCATCACCCAGAGATAACGTCTTTAATCTCTGGGTGTATGCTGTTCATTCATTACTTATATATATAATGTGTGTTATGTGTGTGCTTTTGTTTCTTTGTTTAACAGAATTGGGACTGTACTGCTCATAGCTTTATACCCTGCTGCTTTCACTTAGCATCATCCCTTGAGCATTTTCCTATGTGTATTAGTCAGTCTCCCAGCAGGAAATAAATGGCATATTCAGCTGGGATTTTGTTAGTAAAGAGATTTTTCACAAAACTGTAGGCAGGGTAGAAGGAACCATCAGAGGATTCTGAAGCATCCAAATACTGGTGGGTAATTGTTACTACCTTAGAACTCAGTTGAGAGCTGGGGCTATGGAAGAGGTGTTGCTTAACAGAAACTGTAATCACAGAGCACAGTCCCTGCCAGGACCACACTGAAGCAGAGAGGGGGCAGGAGGACTGCTTATTACTCAGATTTATCTTTCCTCTACCTCTCTGACTTCCTTCACTGTCTCCCATTGGCCAAACCAATAGGAAGCCAGAGGGCAAGGAAGCCTGGTGACAAGTCTGTAGAGGTCTGCCTCCCGATCCATAGAGGAGGGAAGAAGAGAGCAGAGAGGGATCTGGAGGGCAGATAGAGGACAGTCAGCATTAGTGTCAGTAACCTCAACTTTTAATGTTGCCCTGATAATCCAACATACAGAAGAACCTCAGCTTACTTAATCATTCTCTTAAAATTGACCATTTAGATTAGGTTCACTTTTTTGGTATTTTAAATAACACTCAGATAAACATCCTTGACCAGACGTAGAACTGCTGGGTCAAAGAGTCTGAACACTTTTTAAAACCTTTGAAACATACTGCCATAATGCTCTCCAGAAAGGCTGTATTATTTAATACCCCTAAGTACAGTGTAGAAGCCGTGGTGCCGCAGTGGTTAAGTGTTTGGCTGCTAACCGAGAGGTCAGCAGTTTGAGCCCACCAGCCGCTCCATGGCAGAAAGATGTGGCAATCTGCTTCAGTAAGGTTTGCAGTCTTGGAAAC